ACAGCAGTGTGTACTGACTGTGGTGGTACCTGCTATCACTACAGTAGTACATACTGACTGTGGTGGTACCTGCTATCACTACAACAGTGTATACTGACTGTGGTGGTACCTGCTATGATTACAGCAGTGTATACTGACTGTGGTGGTACCTGGTGTGATTACAGCAGTGTATACTGACTGTGGTGGTACCTGCTATCACTACAGCAGTGTGTACTGACCGTGGTGGTGCCTGCTGTGATTACAGTAGTGTATACTGACCGTGGTGATGCCTGGTGTGATTACAGCAGTGTGTACTGACTGTGGTGGTACCTGGTGTGATTACAGCAGTGTATACTGACTGTGGTGATGCCTGGTGTGATTACAGCAATGTATGCTGACTGTGGTGGTACCTGGTGTGATTACAGCAGTGTGTACTGACTGTGGTGGTACCTGCTATCACTACAGCAGTGTGTACTGACTGTGGTGGTACCTGCTATCACTACAGTAGTACATACTGACTGTGGTGGTACCTGCTATCACTACAACAGTGTATACTGACTGTGGTGGTACCTGCTATGATTACAGCAGTGTATACTGACTGTGGTGGTACCTGGTGTGATTACAGCAGTGTGTACTGACTGTGGTGATGCCTGCTATCACTACAGCAGTGTATACTGACTGTGGTGGTACCTGCTGTGATTACAGCAGTGTGTACTGACTGTGGTGGTACCTGGTGTGATTACAGTAGTGTATACTGACCGTGGTGATGCCTGGTGTGATTACAGCAGTGTATACTAACTGTGGTGGTACCTGCTATCACTACAGCAGTGTATACTGACTGTGGTGATACCTGGTGTGATCACAGCAGTGTGTACTGACTGTGGTGGTACGTGCTGTGATTACAGCAGTGTGTACTGACTGTGGTGGTGCCTGCTGTGATTACAGCAGTGTATACTGACTGTGGTGATGCCTGGTGTGATTACAGCAGTGTGTACTGACTGTGGTGGTACGTGCTGTGATTACAGCAGTGTGTACTGACTGTGGTGGTGCCTGCTGTGATTACAGCAGTGTATACTGACTGTGGTGATGCCTGGTGTGATTACAGCAGTGTGTACTGACTGTGGTGATGCCTGCTATGATTACAGCAGTGTATACTGACTGTGGTGGAACCTGCTGTCACTACAGCAGTGTATACTGACTGTGGTGGTACCTGCTGTGATTACAGCAGTGTATACTGACTGTGTTGATGCCTGCTGTGATTACAGCAGTGTATACTGACTGGTGATGCCTGGTGTGATTACAGCAGTGTATACTGACTGTGGTGGTACCTGCTATCACTACAGCAGTGTGTACTGACTGTGGTGGTACCTGCTGTCACTACAGCAGTGTGTACTGACTGTGGTGGTACCTGCTGTGATTACAGCAGTGTGTACTGACTGTGGTGGTAGCTGCTGTCACTACAGCAGTGTGTACTGACTGTGGTGGTACCTGCTATCACTACAGCAGTGTATACTGACTGTGGTGGTACCTGCTATCACTACAGCAGTGTATACTGACTGTGGTGGTACCTGCTGTGATTACAGCAGTGTATACTGACTGTGGTGGTACCTGCTATCACTACAGCAGTGTATACTGACTGTGGTGGTACCTGCTATGATTACAGCAGTGTATACTGACTGTGGTGATGCCTGGTGTGATTACAGCAGTGTGTACTGACTGTGGTGATGCCTGGTGTGATTACAGCAGTGTGTACTGACTGTGGTGGTACCTGCTGTGATTACAGCAGTGTATACTGACTGTGGTGGTACCTGCTGTTACTACAGTAGTGTATACTGACTGTGGTGGTACCTGCTGTCACTACAGCAGTGTGTACTGACTGTCGTGGTACCTGCTATCACTACAGCAGTGTATACTGACCGTGGTGATGCCTGCTGTGATTACAGCAGTGTATACTGACTGTGGTGGTACCTGCTATCACTACAGCAGTGTATACTGACCGTGGTGATGCCTGCTGTGATTACAGCAGTGTATACTGACTGTGGTGGTACCTGCTATCACTACAGCAGTGTATACTGACTGTGGTGATGCCTGCTATGATTACAGCAGTGTATACTGACTGTGGTGGAACCTGCTGTCACTACAGCAGTGTATACTGACTGTGGTTGTACCTGCTATCACTACAGCAGTGTATACTGACTGTGGTGATACCTGCTGTGATTACAGCAGTGTATACTGACTGTGGTGATGCCTGGTGTGATTACAGCAGTGTGTACTGACTGTGGTGGTACCTGCTGTGATTACAGCAGTGTGTACTGACTGTGGTGGTACCTGCTGTGATTACAGCAGTGTGTACTGACTGTGGTGGTACCTGCTGTGATTACAGCAGTGTATACTGACTGTGGTGGTACCTGCTATCACTACAGCAGTGTGTACTGACCGTGGTGGTACCTGCTGTGATTACAGCAGTGTATACTGACTGTGGTGGTAGCTTCTATCACTACAGCAGTGTATACTGACTGTGGTGGTACCTGCTATCACTACAGCAGTGTATACTGACTGTGGTGGTACGTGCTGTGATTACAGCAGTGTGTACTGACTGTGGTGATGCCTGGTGTGATTACAGCAGTGTGTACTGACTGTGGTGGTACCTGCTATCACTACAGCAGTGTATACTGACTGTGGTGGTACCTGCTGTGATTACAGCAGTGTATACTGACTGGTGGTACCTGCTGTGATTACAGCAGTGTGTACTGACTGTGGTGGTACCTGCTATCACTACAGCAGTGTATACTGACTGTGGTGGTACCTGCTGTGATTACAGCAGTGTGTACTGACTGTGGTGGTACCTGCTGTGATTACAGCAGTGTATACTGACTGTGGTGGTACCTGCTGTCACTACAGCAGTGTGTACTGACTGGTGGTACCTGCTATCACTACAGCAGTGTATACTGACTGTGGTGGTACCTGCTGTCACTACAGCAGTGTGTACTGACTGTGGTGATACCTGCTTTCACTACAGCAGTGTGTACTGACTGTGGTGGTACCTGCTATGACTACAGCAGTGTATACTGACTGTGGTGGTACCTGCTGTGATTACAGCAGTGTGTACTGACTGTGGTGGTACCTGCTGTGATTACAGCAGTGTGTACTGACTGTGGTGGTACCTGGTGTGATTACAGCAGTGTGTACTGACTGTGGTGGTACCTGCTGTGATTACAGCAGTGTGTACTGACTGTGGTGGTACCTGCTGTGATTACAGCAGTGTATACTGACTGTGGTGGTATCTGCTGTCACTACAGCAGTGTATACTGACTGTGGTGGTACCTGCTATCACTACAACAGTGTATACTGACTATGGTGGTACCTGCTGTCACTACAGCAGTGTATACTGACTGGTGGTACCAGCTATCACTACAGCAGTGTATACTGACTGTGGTTGTACCTGCTGTGATTACAGCAGTGTGTACTGACTGTGGTGGTACCTGGTGTGATTACAGCAGTGTGTACTGACTGTGGTGGTATCTGCTGTGATTACAGCAGTGTATACTGACTGTGGTGGTACCTGCTGTGATTACAGCAGTGTGTACTGACTGTGGTGGTACTTGCTATCACTACAGCAGTGTATACTGACTGTGGTTGTACCTGCTGTGATTACAGCAGTGTGTACTGACTGTGGTGGTACCTGGTGTGATTACAGCAGTGTGTACTGACTGTGGTGGTACCTGCTGTGATTACAGCAGTGTATACTGACTGTGGTGGTACCTGCTGTGATTACAGCAGTGTGTACTGACTGTGGTGGTACTTGCTATCACTACAGCAGTGTATACTGACTGTGGTGGTACCTGCTATCACTACAACAGTGTATACTGACTGTGGTGGTACCTGCTGTCACTACAGCAGTGTATACTGACTGTGGTGGTACCTGCTATCACTACAGCAGTGTATACTGACTGTGGTGGTACCTGCTGTCACTACAGCAGTGTATACTGACTGTGGTGGTACCTGCTGTCACTACAGCAGTGTATACTGACTGTGTGTCACTGCGTGTGTCACTGTGTGTGTGTGTATCACTGTGTGTGTATCACTGTGTGTGTGTGTA